CGTATCAGCTCGAGTGTCTGCGGAGACAAGCACCTCTTCGTGACTTCGGGACTCTCGGCTTTTATGGCGGTAGCGTGAAGATATTCAACGAGCCGGTCGCATTCTTCGTTGATGTTCTCGACAACGGTATCTTCCCGAGAGCCGACTAATGATTTGAATACATCCCAGTTTATGGTAGCTCTGAGACTTCGTTGTTTGAATTCAGCAGCTTTATCTCCTCTCCGCAAAAAACGAAACGTTGCGCGAAGGAGGCGATGGTCGGATCCCGTGTAGAACTCAGAAACAACAGCGACATCGCTCAGGCAAAACCTTTAATTTATTAAGATGTGATCTATTTCGTTATGGTACTCTCCATTGGGAGACTCCCACGTTCATTGTTAAAATGAGGCTTTTGGAGGTGTAAATTGTCGTGGATGGTCTGAGACGTCATGATAAACTCAGATAGCCTTTCACCCTGTTCATTCCAATCTTGTCCGTGGGTCCCAAGGTGACGTTCTTTGAACGTTCTCCTAGGTCCGATTTTGGCGTTAGAATCTCCAACAATGGCCTCGAAAAAGGTATGGTCTTCTCAGAACAATCTTTCTAGGTCCATATAGAAAGCTTAACTTCGCCTTCATCACAGCTTCATGTTGGTGTATAAGCAGCGAAGATGGTCGCAGCATTGAACCACAAGTCAAAGCCAAACCATTGGACCGCAATCGTCCGATACGAGTTGTTAGTTGCTCAAAGAATTGATGTCGCCAACTCCGCCGGCACCTATGCGTTCGCATGTTCCAAGAAACAGTTCTTCTCTGGGGTCATGAAAAGCGTGAAAAACGATGACGTCCTCTCGCTTCAGCCAGGCCAATGACGTCGTATCTTATCCTTCTTGCTTGAATCAATAGATCTTCTGCAGCGGATTCATGAGCAAGTGTTTGTGCATAATGGGTACACATGGGGGCGTTGTAGGTACAGATCGTCATTTTAGTCCGTTTCGATTTTGGCAGCCTAGTTCAGCTCTGAGATTTTAGCAGCCTTTCCGTACTCGCCGTACCTAGCGCTGCCGTACTGGGGGCTCTTTCGGGGCCAGGGGAATGAGACCCATCTTTATGCTGTTTTTAGCATTTTAATGCCCAACGTATGGCTAGCTAGGCTCTGAACGTGAGGGCTGGATTCTGACGAGTAGCTTGCCTACTCTTTTGGAGGAGTGGGGAGAGCTCATTTGTTGGAGGCGACTCCTAACCGCCCACACATACTTCTCAGCTGTTTGATTGCAGGCTTTTGGTCGATATGACTCGTAAAAATGGACTTTTGTCAAATCGACCCTGCAGAAGCTGGCCAGGGAGCTCATTCCCTGAATCCATCTGCGTCTCTGGAAAGCACATGGTCGCTTTTGGTTCGCGTTGAGTCCCCCTATCCACCACCTCGAAGCGCGCCACGTGCCCTTGTGGTTAACCGGGCGGGATCGGGAGATCCGTGGCATTAGTCATAATCATTCAGAATTTGACAGGTCAAAAATGCTCTTTGCTCCTCGAACATTTCCATAGTCGTTCATTCTAAAACTTGTTACGCAATGCTTTTCTCGTTCCCAAAAATGAAACGGTTTATTTTCACGCTTTTTCACTTCTGCACATTGCATTGTGTCCACAGTTCTACTAATCAATATGTTAACAGAAAATCAACAAGGAAGAGAGAACCGCGCTCCAATGACAAGGCGACGCCATATCACCGCACACGCGTCCTCCAGACGCCATCGTTCATCTTCGGCGGTCAGTGGACGCCCACCTACAAGCCTTGCGTACTCTCGAGTGACAATCTCATTCGAGTGTACCTCTCACTGGAGGAGTCCCCTCGATACGATTCTTATCGGGAGATTCGGCTCGCGCCAGCCTGCAATATGACGAGGAAATTGCCGGAGGTTTGTAGTCGTTTTCTCTTTGAAAATTGAACATTTTGTTTCCAACGGATTGTTTTTGGAGTTCGTAGTTTTTCATTCTTCAACGCTTCCAGTTATTCACTTTTGAGAACACCATTTCACTGCAAAAGAAGCTTGTCAGGTATTTTTTCGTCTGAAAGCACAGATTTTTAAACCTATCGGCTACGTTGGACAAGAAGTTATTATGAAAATTGTTAGCAATTATTCGAAAGCTTAACACTCAAGCTAGCGCTGTACGCTGCCGATTTTTCAAAAAGATCCTTTTATTAGGCTGAAAAATCCGAAATGACATTATGCTTTCCACCTGCATGTTTCTCGCAGTACAGAGCTATTTCTTTAGACTATCAGTAATCATTCGATATCGCTAATTTACCGATTCCAACGGTATGCTTATATCTCAAAGAAAATCGCTTCTCTGCAACACAGCAGCGATAATCAGTTGATTCACATGCACAGGCAAGTGTTCTTTGGCCATTCACGAGCGGTGGGGTGGGGGATAGGAGGCCGGTCGGCGCCAACATCGATCAATAGCGCCCGGATAAGGTGTATTTGGTCAGAAGTTGTTTCTCTGCTCCAAAAAATCTTTTCATTAATCGCTTGACTCTGATACTAGAAAATTTCACTACACGTCCATCTAATTTTCGTGCTTCTAGCGAATTAACAGGTGAATTGCGTGGCCGACTCAAAACATAATTTTATTTTCAATTTTTTAGCATCATAGAAGGGTCTTTTCGAAAAGCGGTTATGTACAGCGCTTGCTTGAGATTGTGACTTTGGAAAGATTTCTCACACTTTTTATGAAATCTTCCTGCCCAGCGTAGGAGATAAGCTTGAAAATCTGTGTTACCGAACGGAAAAGAACCGCTCGTCATAACTTGTTACTCTCTTCAGATCCAGATGTTTTTATTTTATTCACTACTTGCGATCGATAGAGCTTGATCATTAATATCGGCTAATGAGGTTTATCGCTTCCAGTGCAAGAGATATTACATTATTTGTTTTATTTCCGATAACCTGTCGTCATCGATTTTCACACGTGACGTCTTATCTTTTGGGACAGGACTTTTTTCTTGCCTTTCTTTTAACTCTTAACAAATATTCGTTAGCCTAAATTTTGGCGATTCCACTGCAAGGCGTGTTTTCGTTCTTTTTTCCTCTCTTTTTTGAGAGGCCTCGTTAGTGCACCTTGCAGCCAAGAGACTTACGCTTCATCTACGGCGTGTATTATATGCGTGGCTGACGTCTGTGCTTGGTTTTTTCGCGAGAACATTAGTGGTCACTTGATAGCCTAAATCTCGTTGATTTTTGAATTAAATTTGTTTCTGCAAAGGTCTTAAGCTTCGCGCCCTAAGATCTACGCACCAGAAGCATATGGACTTGTGAAAGGACGGCATTATAAATCGCTGCGCTCAACGCTAATCGTGATGCGACGCGCGATTTTCGGCATTTAGTAGGTTTTTTTTCCTTTTTCAGGGATTGTTCTGATTTCTTAACTTTCATTTCGAGTGTTTTCTTAAGACCACAGCTCAAAAATCAATATGCCTTGCCATTATTTTTGAGCCACGCATGTCAGTGGTCTGTTAAAGGAGGGCTGACTTGTAGAGCCCGATACACGTGTTTGGATCTTGCGATCTAGTCAGTCGGGCAGCTACCCTTTCTCGTCTTTTGCTAATCTCTGTGGGTGCTCCAGTCTCCACACTAAGAGTAGCGACGGCGAACGTTTTACACTCTATGTCCAGTGAAGAACTCAGTGAATACAAAGTGTTGTACACTCGATTTCTCGTGGCTAGTATATTCAATATATCATAACTTTCATTTCGAGTGTTTTCTAGATACGCTCTATGTCCAGTGAAGAACTGAATGAACACAAAGTGTTGTACACTCGATTTCTCGTGGCTAGTATATTCAATATATCATAACTTTCATTTCGAGTGTTTTCTAGAGTGTAATCGTACGTCGTCGCTAACTCCTTATTGTGGGGACTGGAGCACCATAGAGATTAGCAAAAGACGAGAAAGGGTAACTGCCCGACTGACGAGATCGCAAGATGGAAACACGTGTATCGGGCTCTATAAGTCAGCCCTCCTCTAACAGACCACTGACATGCGTGGCTCAAAAATGATGGCAAGGCATATTGATTTTTATTTTACTTGATACATCACGGTTTCCTAGCGCATGTGGGGCAGTGGTTAGAGGTGCTCTGCGTCTCACGCGAGTTCTATGGTTTGATCGCACGCTCATAGCTCACCAAGCCATCTATCCCTCTGGAGTCGATAAAATGGTGCCGGGCTGGTCTCAGACTTTTCTGTGAGGACAAGCATCACTGACTCTGTTTAGCGGTAGGCCACCGCGAGCGATTGTAAAGGCCAAATATGCATTTAATCACCTAAATCGATGTTAAAAAGTGAAGACGAATGCATGGCGCATTTCTCAGGGATTGATCAACGCCGAGGGCTTTCATTGTTTTGATCACTGTTTACTCTTCACGTTCGTATATATAGTTCTCTCGTGTGAAAAAACGTCAGTTTGCTTCGCAATCGTGCTCTTTTTGGTACTTAGTTAATCATAATGAGATGTACGAATTACTTTAGGCTTTAGATTTTTTACGTTCTTTTGTCATATTATATGCAATATTCGATACCCATCACAGCGTTTAAAAATTGAAGAAAAAGCAAGGAGTTCCTGTGTAAATTTAATGATGTAGAGTGATGTGCAAAGTTTTTTTACGTACATGGCGCCTTTTTTGTAAACACATAATTGTCTTTCTCAACCCGGATAAAGTGCTCGTTGAGACGACAATCTTTACGATCTTGTATAGTTCAGTTAACTCATTCCAAGTGATTGCACGGGTGCTGTAGAAAAGTTTAAACTCTTGACTGTTTGTTATGATTAGGTTATCAGTCGATTTAGATAAATATTATGTAAGCTTCTTTTTCAGGGCACGTGCTATAACTGTCCGTCGACAATTCCTGAAGGAGCTGTTAGAAGACATGCACAAGGAAAACTGGCGTGCAAGTAAGTGCTTAAGTGAGCAAAGTATAAACAGAATATACCCAATGGTAAGGAGTGATGTGCAAAAAACGTCCGCGTCAGCCGGGATTTGAACCCTGATCTTACTCTTTCCGGGAGCATGTCCTAAGCCGTTGCGCCACCGAAGCTTGTTTCGGACTCCAGTCTTTCTGCACTAGAACGCGTTACCTGTCAGCAGCCACCCGTCTTTGGTTCGTTTAAAGGCAATTAGCGAAGAGAGCAGTTGCTTATGAGTCTTGTTCACGGTTGTTTCACTTATTTACCTACATATTATTAGTTGTAGCACATGGGTACAAGTGGCTATCCTGATCGAGACACTTTTGTCTTCCAAAAAGGTTTTGCTGAGAGTCTGTATGAAGGAGACGTTGAAGTTCGTATAAATATAAAAACAGCGAGATATTGGAGAATGAGTGGTGGGAAGCGGTGGTCGCCCGCGATGGTGTAGTGGTAGCGCGCACCCCGGGAAGGGGTGAAAACGCTGTTTTAATTCCCGTCTGAGGCAGCAATTTTGCTTACCACTCAGTTCTTTTAAGTTTATTTGAAACATCATAGCAGTGTGAGAAAGTGGTAATAACAAAGAATTTCTGGATCTATATAAATAGTTCACTGATTTATTGATAAACCGGCGCGCGCAAGGCAGAATCAGAGTACATGGAACGTTTAGAACTCTAAGGGCATTTCAACAAAGTGCTGTCACAAAAGTTTGTACTCCTTGAAACGGCTGTAGGAATTACAAAGCATTAGACCGAATTACATGCATCGTGATAGGTAAATACTGAGAACACGTAGGTTGCTGAGATGTGTCATTTAAATCTTTTAGCATTTCTTCATTGACATTCAGCAGCAGCAGTAAACCAATTCGAAATACTGCAGTCAAAACAACCTAAGTCAAACAAAGTAAAATATGTTTTTAGTGGTTTGCAACATTTCCTGACGACATCGCAGACGAGTCAGAAGCGACCAATCTCTACGTTCGATGTGTCTAAGTGACATTGTGCCACATACTCGCCACCCGTCGACTCATGCTGAAGAACGCTTTCAACAGAAGAGCCATCGATGGTAACTTCTATTAAGAAATGAGTAATCAGTCAGAATTCTTTTTATTTGACCGTCACTTGCGGTGGTGTGATGTTGCAATATACTCGATAGTGTGGAGTGCTGTGCAAAAACATTTGAGTCAGCCGGAATTCGTACCCAGATCTCACTCTTTCCGGGAGCGTATACTAACCGTTGCAGTGGGTTCAGTGTCAATGACGACTATCCTCGCCGGACCTTAGACGGTTGGCTGTTAACAGATAATGCGTTCTAGCGTAGAAATAGTGGAATGCAAAACGAGCGTCGATGGTGCAACGGTTTAGCACATGCTTCCTTGAAGATTAAGATCTGGATTCGAATCCCGGCTGACGCGCACGTTTTTGCACACCACTCTACATCATTGGGTCTATTTAAACATCGTAACACCGCAATAAGCGGTGAAATAAAATGATTTCCCAATGCTTTTTTGTAAAAAATGATAATGCATACTGCATGTGATCGCATCTGTCGATGACTTCCGATAATTCTGGATTATTAGTGTACTTTGGAAGTTGGGACTCATTGAATGATCTAAAATTTTTTCTATCCTTCTGTTGGTAATTCTTTTCTACATAATCACGTATACTCTACTATGAATTACATCCTTTGCCACTGAACACGCCTCACTTATTCTGCGTATTCTGCGTACCTCCTATCTGATTGCCCATAGTTCAACCTGGTGAGGTTACTATAGGTTTTTTTTTGCGGACTAACACCAACTCGCGCAGTTTTTCTAATACTTTACAGCGAGGATTGACCCCTAAGAGACTATGTGTACAAGTATTGGTAGACGGTTGTTTGAAGGCTTTCTCACTGTGTAAAGGTTCTCTCTTGATAGTTTTGTTATCATACGAAAACTTTAATTACTGCAATTTCAACCATTTGTTTGGCTTTTACAAAAGACTTTTTATTGCGGTGCAGCAGCGAAAATAATGTTATTTTCCACACTCAGTTCACTTCATTTTCCCTGCCGTGGCTTCGGTATGACTCTTCACTAAAGTTTCACCAGTTATTAAATAGCCCAAATCTCGGAGATTTTGGTGGTTGAATTGGCTTCTGAAAGGATACCTTAGAACGCTGTAAGAGCCAAAAGAGATTGCATTCTACGCCTTGAATGTTACCTCACCGCTTAGACGTCATAGGTGGTTTCTTGGTAATTATGGGTAAATTTTATACGTCATAGGCATCCTATGGTTACACAAAGAATAGAGTATACCGAATAAACCTTTCATAAAGGTTTTCGACATAAAAAGCGACTAAGTTTCTTGAAATCCTTCATTTTTCTGCTGTACTATTACATCAATGTGAAGAAATCAAACAAACTATCAACATTTACTGTGCATTTTTGCCGCCTCTCTTGCGAGAACGTAGCATGAAAGCACATCTTCTACTACAAAACACTTCTGATAGAGGTACGTATGGAAGTAATTGTAGTATGTGGTTGAACTAATTGTAGGAAGATGTAATGCGGAGAATAACAGGCACTTTTCCCCAATTCGCACTCATATTCCGAAAAGCGTGTTTTTTTATCCTTTATTTGACATTTCAGTAATTGCCCGATGGCATGAGTCTCGAGAATTCGGACGGTGTATTTTATTTTTAAATGATTTCTATATTTTGCTGCAAAAGTAAAAACAGAATTTCATTTCACACTCAAGCAGCTTTCGCTTGACACAGCATTCCATTCAGACGTTCGATAACCATCGGTAACAAAATTCTGAGCGATTTATGCAATTTGCTTGGTTTTTAATAAGGACTTTTATTGAACTGTTACAACTAAAAAAGAATGAAAAGATTGTGAGTGCGCATTCGACGCCGTGTTGATAGCAGCACGCATTATCATTTTTGACAATTTACTCATGTTTTCTGAGTTCTACTCGTTATGATGACTCTTGGGTCTTGTATAAAACTGGGAAAGATCAAAACCAAATATTTTATTGTGATCTTCTTTTACACTGCAATATAATTGATTGAATGCCAAATTCTGTATGATTGCGTAGTAAACCAGCGTTTTTCGGAATACAAAACACAAAGATTTAAGTCAAAAATCCCATGAGCGAGTATAAAAAATCTCATAATATTAAATTATTACAAGAATCAGAAAACTCCGAAGAAAAAAAACCATATTGAAGCAACGAAAATCGCGCAGTTTGCTCTGCGTGCATCGATTTCTATATCGGTCCCTTAGGGATGAAAGCAAACAGCAAGAAGCAACTCTAGCAAGGACGAGAAAGGAACGAGGAAGTAAGGAGGATTCTGCATTTCTGAAACAAGTCAGAAATATTTTTGCAAAAGTGTTGTTTGGAGACATTATGGCCCAACGTCTAAATCCGTAGAAAAAGTCTCAAGGTGAAAACGGAATGTAGCCAACTGATCGGCTTCTTAATGGAGGTCTCATCCATACCAAATCGTCTATAAAAAGTCCAAAATTTTTCTTGATTGCTTGAGGATAGCGTGAATTCCGTTGTATGAATGCGTACTTCTGGTGCTTTCCCTTGAGACAGTGCTTTTTCACTAGACTGTAAACAGTCATTCGATAGTTTGAGAAATGCAGATTTCAATACTGTATTGGGTTGTCATGAAAATTTCCAAACTTTCATGTTGCTCTTGTTTATTTTCCAATTCTCTGTATCTGTCATAAGTTCCAACCTCTCAAAATGACTTCGATGAAACCATGTGTAAGTAGTTGTGACCGTCCACAAATAAACCATAGATTTGATTCGCTCGCCTGCTTCCTATGGATATTCTCCTCCTTTTTCATCGCTTTGATATACAGACTTTGCTGATTTTCACGAATAATCATAGTTTATACATGAAAAAGGGAATCGAATACTTTTGCCTAACGGACGAACTTTGTGAGAAAAGCCACAGGCTTTATTAAAGAAATTCACCAAGTTGTACAATTTTATCGTTTTTTCATTATTAAAACTCGATATTCATTGCTGTCGGAGATGCGCCTTCAGTAGTGATGGACTGAGAAAGTTGCGGGTTAATTTGGCCTTCTTAACTTCAAGTAAGCGGAACCCTAAAAACTGCGGCCATGTAGTACTGTTTTGCCCTGAGTTATATCACGAAGACGCCGATGAAGAGATAAATGGTGAGTGGTCAAAGAAGTTATCGTCACACGGAATCGTGACCTATTTGATGGCGATGGGGGATGTTCAAAGAAACTTTTTACTCAGGTGCAAGAAATCGGTTGATTTCTACACCTGAGACTCAATTATAGAACGGACACATCTATGGCCTTCGGACGAATCCAAGTTGGATTGCTCTTCCTTGACGAGCTTCATAGTTACCTGTCTGCGCACATCTGCCCCCTCTTTTTTCCTTGGTTCTAGATAGCAGTTGGTTTTCTAAGTAGCTAACATGCATTTCAAAAAAAGACGGAGTGTTTCTGACAAAGACATTCCAGTGAAGCGAAATAATGTACGTTTTAGTATAAACATATTGGAGGGAGAGCCTTTTTTTTATGTTATACCGCAGTGACAGGTGCATTGTTCACAATCTCTAGTGTTGAAATTATGACGCTCCAGGTGCCCTCTAACACCTTTGTTCGCAGGACAAATCATTGCGAGCAGAAATCACATGCCATAGATCTACAGATCCGCTAAGAGATGGGCTTTCGCGGATTTGTGGAACACAATACTGCATTCAGTCGAAAGATGTAAACAAATTCAGTGATTTTTCTAGTAATACCTATTACAATTCGCAGCTATTGCTTGAGCGGCATTGCTTAGGCCATAGAAGAAATTCGATCTTCGAATGGTTTCTTTTTGTTTTGCTAAAAATGTCGTTAATGTTTCTGCATCCGTTGTAGTTGGCATTCTGAGCAGATTAGGTATCAAGCAAACGACGTAAGTTCATCGAAACATAGCGATTGACATATTTATGTCGTTATTCAATCAGTATTCAATAATAATTGTAATAGTAATGCTGCATGTTTTCATCGTACAATTTATACCTCTCCTTTCGACCGCCCTCTTATATACCCTTTCATAGGTCCGCTCTAAAGAAGGAGAGTTATGACTCATTGTGAAAGTTGCAAGCTCGATTG